CAGAGGCGTCGGGCCTTGAAAAGCTGGACGAGGGTTAGGATTTTGGGCAACTGGTGGTGGATTATAGGCTTCTGATTTGGAATCATTGTCTTCAGGAAAATTTTCTGCAAAATCATCATCTAAGGGAATTTCGTGATTTTCTTCTGGCTCTACATCTTGTCCTTGATTGGGAAAAAAAGGGTCTCCAGGTAGATAAAATCCATCCATTGTTATCTAAGCGAGAATAGAGATAAGAGATATAGAATATAGTTAGTAACGATAGATTAAGGATACAAGTTTCCACGAGAGAGACCTACAGTTATCAAGTAATGTATTCTTTATGACTTGTTCTAGGTATTACTATAACTATAAAGTGTATACTAATTATATATAACTTGGGTATAACTGACCTTCGATTAAATGACCCGACTCTAAATCCACAACCAAACAAGGAACATGAAATGAAGCTAGATCACATATTCTAAGTCTATATAACTTTAATTATATATAACTGTAATATACCCTTAATATTTATAGTTCTATCCTTAATTGTTCTATTGTTTTCACATGTTTGTTATTAGTATATAGTGCCTAAAATACCCCTATAGTATTTTAATCTTTATGTTCTGTTCTAGAGTTCTTCTGAATATGTATAATTGGTAAGTTTTAGACATGTCGCAACACCACTATCACTCCCAAACACATGTTTGTCATATCTCAAATCAATATAGTTGATCAGGCTATATTAATCCCAGATATGATTACATAACTGCCCAGGTTTGACTGTAATGTCCAACATCCAAATACTTTTAAGTTCTTATGACTGTGATACTATACTTGTAGGTATGAGTGTTAGTATACTTCTTGTAAAAATACTTAAATTTTTAAAAGGATACTTGTAGTCAGAGCTCTCAGCCCCAAATGTATTTATAGTTTGTATATCTTTTATGGATTGATATAATGAGTTCACTATAAACATTGCTCTGATACCAATCTGTCACACACCCAAACCAGACGGCGGAAACGTCTGGGGGTGGATGACTTCATTTGGAGTATCACAATACATGCATTATAGTAATCAGAGTACAAACAACCACTGTATTTAAAAAGTATAAGTATTTACATGTGTTTCATCATTGTATACTGAAACCAAATAGTTATACAAAAGAAGAAGATGAGACATAAATAGCTCCATCTTCTCAAAAGCACGGGGAGTACCTGTCTACCGGTTCCCTGAGAATACAAGTAATTTGAAAAAAAGAGTATCAACATAAAGTTGAGTGAGTGCATAAGTATTTATGTTTGAAAGAATGTTTTCTGTTTTTTGAATATGTAAATTGTTCCAGAAAATCCTATATTTTCTGTTGTATATGAAAAGTAGTTTTAATTACATAAAACTGTTCTATTTGTAAACCAATGTTCTGTAATTGTAATCCTTTTGTAAACTTGTATCTGAGAGTGTGCCTGGTTTCATCAACTGTTATTGTAAAATGTAATGTAATACTGTAAATTGTATCTTGTAAACTAGTACTTTGAAAATGTACTTAAGTTTAGTTAATTATACACTAACGTATTGTTAATATCTTTTATATGAGTTATTATAACCATACTTACTAGATGGCCTGACCCAACGCTATGAATGTCATGGAGTGTACGACCATATAAGGGTGTGTACGGCCACATAAGGGTACGGCCACATAAGGGTGTGTACGGCCAAGATGTGTACGGCCATGGAGTGTACGGCCATTGAGTGTACGGTCATGGAGTGTACGGCTGTACACTCATGGAAGAAACATGCAAAAAGGGGTGTTTGATCCATGGGGAAACTAGTGTGTCAAATGTACAACAAGAAGATGAACAAAACTCTCATTTTTTAGGGTCTTTAGGTGTGTACGGCCAATGAACCTATGAAGGGTTCACGGCCGTACTCCCTTCAAGATCATGAAGGGATGTTGAAACATGATGAATTAAGGCTTGGATCTAATGGTCTTTCAAGTATAACAAGGTACATGAAGAATTACTTACCACTTTTGAAGATTAGAAGGAGTGTTCTTGATTGTAGTTGAGAGAGAATGGAAGTTCTTGAGGTGAAAGTGTAAGAAAGTTTGAAAAATGAATGAATATCTTATATATGGGTTTGGGTTTACGGCCATATTGAGTGTACGGCCGTACACTCTACTTGAAGGAGTGTTTGGCCCGAATGCAATACGAAGAACCTAAGTTAACTCACCCCTAAACCTAAACCTTGAATGCACTAGGCTTAGAACACTCAAACAGACCCTAAACAATGCTAAATGATAGTAGAAACGAGTCTGACTGTGATTGAATTGAATGATTGTACAAGATAGAAATTTATGGTTGTCACAATAACCTCCCATTTAAACACCTCTATTAATCACAAAGATTAATGTATGTTAATATGTAATTAAATTGTAATATTAATTACAATTTCAGTTACGAAACAAAGAACTATTTGCAAGAAAGGTCCGTGAACTTTTTTTTTTCTTCCACCCATTAAACTCTTTTATTTACTTCTTCCAGCACCCTTACTTTAAAGATTAATTTATCATTCATATTAAATCCATTTTGGACGTGTTAAAAATTGGGGAAAACTCATTTTTATAAATTGGTTAACACCAATTTTCCAACAACTTCAACTTACATATAGATATGAAGTATCTAGATGATTATATGCTAAATGTGATTGTTATCTGTACTTCCTGATATTTGTGCTAGATAAAATATTATAACATGATTTTATTTGATTTAAACGTATATATACATATATTTTTATATATTGGGTAGAAAAGTGATGATAATGATGAAATAAATGAGAGGCATTGACTTTATAGATGATCTAGTCGGTTAGTAGAGTATAGATGACGACCACAGACTATTCTAGACAGTGCAGTGGAACGCTGGCGGACTCGCAACCTGTAGGTGTTATTGAACTATGTGTTCACTAAAGATGTACTCCATCCCCTCATGGTTGCCTTATGGACATGTATTTTCTAAGGAATCCCCAAGCAGTGTTGTCTACCCCAATTCTTACAGTGATCCTTAGGGTAGGTCCCTTGAGACTAGTATTTAGGGTCATAATGTGAGGATAACGAGAATGGGTAATAGGGTTGAATTGTTTGATGAGAAGAATATAATTAAAGAATCTAATTATTGTGGGTTGAAACCCTATGTGCTCACTAGACTTCTCCAAATATGAACCACTTAGTTTCCTTATATCACAGGTAGCGGTAGGAAATCACATATGAGTTGAAATGATTCTAATGAAAGGAGAATGGAATGTAGGCCAATAGGTTAATGTACTATTGTAAGGCCTGTAATTTTTCGTTTATGTTTATGTACTGTATTGACGATGACATCCCAAAGTTTTTAATATAAATAAAGTACATTTCTTCGGAAATGTTTTGATAATATTATTATCATGTTTTTAGGAACAAATTTCGCATTATATTTCTTTAAAAATGATACTCTAATTTTTAATAAGCATAAATAAATCGGTCTTTTCTGGCCGTGAAATTTGGGATGTCACATACACGGTCTTGAATGCTCGAAAATACCTTAGCTCGTTACATAACAATGTGTTTTACTTATTTCTCCGTTTCTGATGAACCATTAAAGTTTCGTTAAAATCCGAAAATCCGACACCGAAAGAAAATTCGGTAAAATACAAAAAAAACTAGAAAAAAAATTGGTTTTTTTTTTCAAACCGATCCTAAACGGTTCCTAAAGGTTTGAATATTTTTGTTCGGAAACTAGTTTGAAATCAATTCGTTTTTTACTCAAACCGATTTCGGTTTTTGTTGACCCAAAGTGAACGGGTTTTAAAATTAATTCGGTTTCCAAGAAAAATCGATTTGTGCACATCTAGCCTTTGGCAGATGGGCTCATCGGCATGTCGTTAGGTTCTTTGTTCTTGGGCTTCTTTGCTCCACCAAAGGAGCATCTACGTTGTCGTTTTGGTTTTGCGTCTTCTAATTGCTTGTATTTACATTATAGTAACGTTGTGGTCTCAAGTTTCTTTTTAGAAGAGAAATGAGAGAAAATGAGACGATTGAGAAATGAGAGAAAATGAGAGGATTGAGAAGGAAAAGATTATTCTCCATTTTTTTTAGGGTGAGAAGAAAGAAAAGGAAAGGAAAGGATTTGATGTGGGAAATATGGGCTATTTTACACACCAAATCATCCGCTCAATTTTTGGCGGATTGGGAGGAAAAGCATATAATGACCGGTTTTACCCTTGTCATGTTCTTCATCTTCCTTCTCATAGCATTCTTCCTATCCACCTGCAACAAACATGGTGAAAGGTAATTGTAGTCTTCACTCATTTTCACAACATCATTGGTGCCATCAAGAACTCCTATAATTGAAACATCCTTCTCCCCTAGCTTTACTATTGATGTCTCATCTTCTTCCCTCTTCTTACTCTATGAAACTGAAGAACCCTAACCAACTAAGGGTAAAAATATCATTTAACCGTGGAAGTTCGTCCCCTCCCCCTACAACTCAAGAACACATCTAATGATTTTTTTTCTCCTTCCATCTTCCCTTTCTTCCCTCTCCCCATAGACATTTATAAATGTTATATTTATAATTCCAAAAAAAAGATTATAAAGATGACTTCAAGTACAAGCAGTAATTTCATACAATATATCAATACATAGGGTGGCATCCAATTTTTCTACAACTAGCCAACTAGATTGCTTTTAACACAAATTGCACATATTCCATCCAACAAATAATTAACAGTGGAATCTTTTCGCTTTATGTGAGAACAAATATATTCACACGACTCTTAATTTTAATGGTCATGAATTCAAGACTCAATCTTGACATAAGACGTGCGTATCTCTATCTCTATTTTATATACAAAATGGAACTCATTTCATTTCATTTCATAGTTTAAAATTCATCTAAACCATAAATGTTTACAAAAGATAAACACTTTATATGTAACCCATTAGCAAATGCATCATCTATACAATCGTAATCTACCATTTCTACATTTAAACTTTTGTCTGAAACATAAAATTTCTACTTCTTGATGAACAAAACAAAGCAACTCCAACCGAATAAAAACTAACACAAGCACTAACCGAAAACACCCATCCCGATATCAACCCGTCATCTTTCCCCTCTTCATAAACCCTCTCCGGCTCCTCCGGCAACTTTCCGGTCAGACAACCACCACCACCACCACCATCACCGCTAGATGACTCCACACACAAATTAGGGTTTCCCGCAAACGCCCCCGAAAATCTCCAATACCCTTTCGTCTTATTAACAATCCCGGAAAAATAATTAAACGAAAGATTCAAATGTGTCAAATTCCCGAGTCCCGATAAATTTTCCGGGACTTCACCCGATAATGAATTATGTGATAAATCAAGAATCTTTAAGCTCCACATTGACTCCAAATTTGTAGGGATTTGACCATCGAGGAAATTGTAAGATAAATTTAGATACTCCAAACCATGTAGACCAAAAAGCCCTTCTGGGATTTGACCATGTAACAAGTTATCTGATAAATCAATGGTGACTGTTGATGAAAGATTGTAGTTTAGATGCAGATCATCACCCATCACCAATGAAAACTTACTATCTAACAATGGCGCTTTGGGGTTTTCTTTAGCTTCGCCATTGTTGAAATGTAAACTGAGGTTGAAAATCCCGTCGGGGATGTCGCCTGAAAATTTGTTGCCGGAGAGGTCGATTGTTTGGATTGATTCAAACATGAAGATCCAAATGGCGAGAGCTCCGGTGAACTTGTTGTGTGAAAGAGAAAGGTACCTTAGGTTTGACCATTTGGTCAACGCGTCGTTTAGAGGTCCTGAGAGATTGTTGTAGCTTAAATCGACGACCTCTAATGATTTACATCCGGCCAAGGTCAATGGGATTTCGCCGGAAATTTTGTTGTTGCTAACATCGAGGATTTTTAAACTGTCTAATGCGTCGAGCTCCGGTTGGATTTCACCGGAGAGATTGTTGTTGTTGAGGATTAATGCGAGAAGTTGAAAACAACCGACGATGTTTAGAGGGATTGAACCGGATAATGAGTTGTTAGAGAGATCGATTACCTGGAGATAGGTTAGGTTTCCGATTCTTGACGGGATTTCGCCGGTGAGAAGATTGTGGGAGAGAAATAAAGCTTGTAAACTTTTTAACTCTGTGAAATCCGGCGGGATTTCACCGGAGAACTGGTTGTGCGAAAGGTCTAGCACAATTAGCCCTGACTTTTCCGGTGAGTCGAGAATTTTTTTAGGAAGATAACCCGACAACTGGTTGTAACTCAAGTCCAGAACAACAAGTCTATTCGAAAACAGGAATCTTGGAGAAATCTCGTAGGTTAGATGATTGAACGACAAATTAAGATGCTCTAATGCTCGTAGGGAAGAAATGCAAGTCGGAACTCCACCTTCGAGTAAGTTTTCAGCTAAATCGAGAAAAGAGAGTGATTCGATTGATGGTGATAAACAAGGTAACGTACCGGAAAACGAATTTGACTCGAGGCTAAGATGCTCCAACGCTTGCCGGAAGTCCGGGAGATCACCGGAGAAATTATTGTGAGATAAACCCAAGTATTTAAGTGATTTCAAGTGCAATAAACCCTCGGGGATCTCCCCTCGAAACGAATTAAACCCCATTTCGAGTTTTTCTAGCTTCATTGAGAAGTTCCCAATCCAGTAGGGAAGCATTTGATCGAACAGGTTGTGGCTAAAATCCAGCTGGGTTAATCTGCTCAATTTCATTAGGGTATCAGGAATAACACCACTAAACATGTTATGACTAAGATCCAAGATTTTGATATTCCAAAACGAACTAAAACAATCTGGAATCTGGCCATCGAGATTGTTATGAGACAGATATAGGGTTTCGAGAAATGAGAGTTTACACAAGCTTGAATGAAGTTGGCCGGAGAGGTTAAACCCAGTGAGGTTGAGTGCAAGAACCCGTCCGTTCCATCTCGAGCAACTCACCCCAGTCCAGTTAGTGCAACTCGAACCGACCCATGACAATCTCTGATTCGGGTCATGGAGCTGTGACTTGAACAGGAGAAGTGAAGCTCTGTCTTGTATGTTGAGAGTAATTTCGTCGAGCACGTTAGGAAGTGAAGAAGAAAGTGTCGAGAACGAAAGGCAAAACAGCAGAAACAGCGGCGTGAACCTTGAATTAAAGATTCTGTAAGTCTTGAAACATAAATCCGGATCCCATCTTGCTTCCATTGATTTAAAGAAGAGATTCCTTCAGATTTTCACAAAATTTAAGACAAGAAGATGAGGGTTTTCATCTTTCAGGTAATAGGGGAAACCAAGATACCTGATAAATGATGGGGATTGGACAGACATTCAACAGGCATTAAGATTAAAAGGTTTGAGTTATAAATAATGGGTAAGGAAAGCAGCTAATCTGTGTAAGAAGAGAATTAAAAAGCAAACATTCTGGGCTCGAGTCCAGGCAAAGAGTATGGCTTTTGGGAATTTATTTACTTCTTCACATAAACTTTTGATAAGCGTGAAAAAATCTCTGTCGAGGCATCTTTCGATTTGCCTACTTTTTACACGCGTGGTTGCACTCTCTTTCATAACATTTCCCCTTTTGAATTTCTAAAGCTTAAACGAGTTGATTAAACAATAAATTTCTCTAAATTTATCTTCTTTTCATGTTTAAGCCACTATTTCTTCGCATCTTAATGGGTTTGTATGAATATGACTTTTGAAACGGAAGAATCGAAAATATCTATTTGTTGTAAAAATGACTGTAAAAATGACGATAAAAAATATCTTTAAAAGAAAATGAATTGTCAGCATAAATATCTTTAACGTTTTGTTTACGTAATTTTTTTTTTTAATAATTTGACTGTTTAAATTTTTATACGTATTCACATATTATATAAATGTGAACAAAACGAAAAGTTAATTACCCTGATAATTCATTTTCTCCAGTTTTAATAACGATTTTTTTCTTCATTTTTATTTGTATTATTTTTTCAAACATTATTTTAAAGGTATTTATAATGTTAAATATTAATTAAATATTGATCAATTTTAAACTTTACTTTTTAATTAATAAATATGTTTTTGTTTTGTGACATTTTTATATAGCATCTCATTTTTTTTCTTTTTTTTAAGGATATACAATATTTTTAAACTAAATACTAGATAGTATCTAACAATAAAATTAAATAAACTAAATATGTAACAAAAAGTATGGATGGTATTTTAAAAAATAAAAATAAAATATTATGTGGCAAATAAAAAAAAATCTTTATAATATAAATGTTTTTAAAATTATTACAACTTTTTAATACTTTTTAATAAGAAGTTTATAAACTTTTAATTTTTTTAATACAACGTTTTAAACTAGTATTTAGCTAAAGTATTTTATAATGTTATAAAAAAAGTATTAAATTATCATACGGATCTTACACCTAGTTGTAGTAATTTATTTTGAAGGGCAAGAATGTATAGAATAGCATGTTGTTAAACTGAGGATAAAAAATATGTTTGTAAATTAAATTATTAGAGTATATATTGTAGTAATTCTTTTGAACGACAAAAGAGTAACGCCTTGTTCTCGAGTTTTTTTGTAATTCAATAAAGGAAATGGAAGGAAAATTTTGACAGAAAGAAAGGAAGGGGAAGGAAAATATTCATTATTCTGTGTTCCCAAGTTCGAAGGAAATCAAATGAAGTGAAAGGAAAATTTCAAGTTTTTGTGTTCCCGAGTTAGGAGGAAAAAAAAACTTTAACACCCCGACTCTCAAGTATAAACTTTACAGCTTTATTTCCATTTTGAAAGGTCTACTCGACGAGTTGGATGCCCTGACTCGTCGAGTAGGGACGACTTTGGCCGCGTGTTTTCAGTGACCAACTCGACGAGTTGGATGATACAACTCGACGAGTTGGAGCTGGAGGATGAAACCCTAATTTCCAGGGTTTTGCACCATATTTAAAGGGTCATTAGCCTCCCTTACAGCCCCCCCCCCCCCCCCCCTGAGCTCAGAAACCCTAAATCGTGTTTACTCTCCATATTTGTGTGTTTTCAAGCTTGGAAGGTGGATCTTGGTGAGAAGAGCTTGAAGTTAAAGAAGTTTGGAACAAAGATAAGTTGTAGATCTGAACTCTACTCCATCTTAGCATCACATTGAAGGAAACAAGTCGTTACCTTGGCTCTCCATTAGCTAGATCTCTTCATTCATGGGTTTAGAACCCTTTTTAGTGAATTGTTGTGGTATTTCCGGATTTGGGGCAAGATCTGAGGTTGCAACTTCAGATCTGGACTCCTTTAGCCCCTTATTGTCATAAAGTTTCAGTCTTTGTCAAAATATGGCCTTCTCTTTGCCTTAAGCTTCTTCTTTAGCTTAGTTTTGGCTCTTAAGACCTTGCATGCACGTAAAGTTTGCAACTTTACGTGATAACTAGGCCCTAGGAGGCTAGATCTACCAATTGGAGCTTTGGAGTGGCTCAAAATCATCTAGACAAGAAATGGACTGTATGAACTCGATGAGTCGGATAAGCCGACTCCACGAGTTGGGAAGGGTTTTCCCGTTGTTTTGGTTTCTGCATGGACTCGGTGAGTCAGTAAGAGGACTCGACGATTCAGTAGGGGTTTCCCCCGACTTTTGGACACGTATGGACTCAACGAGTTGGTTGGAAACTCGGCGAGTCAGTTAGGGCTTCATGACTTCCTGGGTTCTTAAGGAACTCGACGAGTTGCTAGCTGCACTCGACGAGTCGAGTCACCACGGACCGTTGACTTTGACCAAGGGATTGACCAGTTAGACTTTGAGGGTATTTTGGTAATTGGGATTCTAATGGACTTGGTCCTATGGTGGTGATAGGTGGTTGAGTTCATGGCTGCGATTCGAGAGTCTTGCATTATCACTACAGTTCGACATCTGTGAGGTGAGTTTCCTCACTATACTCAAGGGTCTATGTAACACCCGGTTTCAGGTACATATTTAAATTCAAGCAAAACTTCATATTTTACACTGGGACTCAGCGAGTTGGAGGCCCAACTCGTCGAGTAGGTTCGGCTTCTGATCGGGGTGGGTTAAGTGACCTACTCGACGAGTCGGGAGACCGACTCGGCAAGTAGGAGCTGTGTGAGTGAAACCATAAATTTGAGGGTTTGCACCCTACTTAAACACTTTATGTGGCCTCGACCCCAGCCTCCATCACCTCCAAACCCTGTTCACGAAACCCTAATCAACCTTTGAGTGTTCTTGAGCTATTTTGTGCCATTCTTTGTGATTTGAAGTTTGAGGACGGAAGGAAAGACTTGGAGATTCAAGAGGAAGTCAGTAGATCCAGAGATTTGGTTGCATTTCCAACTTGTTTGAGGTAAAAAGCTCCTACCTTGACTTCTTATTTGTTAGATCTACTTTAGGTTTTGGATCTTGACATCTTTGGGGTATTTCTAAGCCATTTCGGGTTTTAGAGTGTAATGTAGAGTGATGGCTTCAGATCTTGAACCTTGGAGGGTTCTCATGGCATAAAGGTGCCAACTTTATGGCCATGAGTAGGGGTGTAAGTGAGTCGAGCTACTCGTGAGCTACTCGGGATCGACTCGTTAAAAGCTCGACTCGAGATCGAATTAAACGAGCCTGAGCCGAGCTGGAGCCTAAATATGAAACTCGTTTATTAAACGAGCTCGAGCCGAGCTTCAATTAATGGGCTCGCGAGCCTAAACGAGCTTAAACGAGCCTATATTTATATATATATATATATATATATATATATATATATATATATATATATATACACACACACACACATACATACATACATACATATATATACACACACATAGAGGCTCGTTTAGGCTCGATTAGGCTCGCGAGCCCACTAAATTGTTCACGAGCCGAGCTCGAGCTTCATTTTAAGGCTCGAATCGAGCTTCCTCAAAATTAAACGAGCCGAGCTCGAGCTTGGTCAGGCTCGGGCTCGAGCTCGGCTCGTTTACACCCCTAGCCATGAGAGCCCCATGCATCTTGTAGACCTTATTTTTGGGTCTTTTGAGCTTAAAGACCCATGCATGGATGTAAAGTTCGTGACTTTACGTGTTATATCGACCCTATGAGGTCAGATCTACCCTCTGGATGAGATGAGTTCAACAGAAATCGAGTTTATGGACATGGACTTTGAGGGACTCGGCGAGTCGGGTATTGGTTCCTCAACCTTTTTTGCTTCTGAGGAATCTGGTTGAGTCTAGAAGGGGACTCAACAAGATGGACATGATTATGGACCTGGAAATCATGGAACTCGGCGAGTATATGAAAACTCGGCGAGTTCAAGGCAATCTCCCAACCCACGAAGACGGACTCGACGAGTTGTTCATAGAACTCGGCGAGTCGTAGACTGGACACAATCATACGGATGAAGATGGACTCGACGATTTCAAGGACGGACTCGGCGAGTCGGTTGAAGATGGTCCCGATGTTATGGTTGAAGGTGAACTCGTCGAGTTCTTGCTAGACCTGACGAGTAGAGTCAGGGGTTGTATCATCTGATAGAATAGGGACTCGACGAGTTGGTGTACCAACTCGGCGAGTCAAGTCAACTGGATGTTGACTTTGACCAAAGTTGACTTTGACTTTGACTTTGACCTGGACTTGAGTTGACCCAAGTAAATGAGGGTTGTGGGTACGAATTAGTAATGGAGGAGGGTTGTTGTGTAGGGATTGAGGAGTTGAGACGAGTGGATTTCCGTACCGAGGACTGTGCAGACACTATGCGACATCGAGGTGAGTTACCTTCCAGTAGCGGTGGGTCTACGACCACAATGTCGGCCCACCAGTAGGAGTTGTATGTTAGATGATTGTTTTGGTGATATTCATCTAAGTTTGCTACTACTTGATATGTTTATGTGCTAGCATGATATGTTATATGTGATAGTGGTAGCAGGGGGAATAGTCCCCAAGTTCGGTCGTTAGGACCGAAGGGTAAGTCAGGCGCCCCAGAATTGTCTGGCAGTATATGAGTATTATATTATTGCATGGTAGTAGTAGGGGTGAAATAGTCCCCAGTAGTCGGGTGAAATAGACCGACGGGTAAGTCAAGCACCCGAGAATGGCTTGACCTGGGTAAGTCAAGCACCCCAAAATGGCTTAACCTGGGTAAGTCAGGCACCCTAGAATTGTCTGATAGTATGTTATTGTATGGTGTGTGGTATGATGGGGGAATTCACTAAGCTTCGTGCTTACAGTTTTCAGTTTTGTTTC